CATGGATTGGAAGAATTAAGATCATCAAAATGTCCATACTACCCAAAGCAATTTATAGATTCAACACCATCCCTATTAAGATACCAATGACACATTTCACAGAAATGGAACAGACAGTTCAAAAATTTATATGGAACCATAAATGACCATGAATAGCCTTATCAATTTTGAGAAAGAAAAACAAAGTAGGAGGGATCACAATACCGGACATCAAACTCTACTACAAAGCCACTATACTCAAAAAAATCTGGTATTAGCACAAGAACAGACCCATAGACCAGTGGAACGGAATAGAAAGCCCAGAAATAAGCCCAGGTCTATATGGGCATCTAATATTTGACAAAGGGGGCAGAAGCATAAAATGGAGCAATAATAGCCTCTTCAACAAATGGTGTTGGGAGAGCTGGATGGCTACATGCAAAAAAATTGCAATTGGATCATCAGCTGACACCATACACAAAAATAAACTCAAGATGGAAAAAAAAAAGAACTACTAAACTTCGCGACAGCATGGATGGAACTGGAGAGCATTATGCTAAGCGAAATAAGCCAAGGGGCGAAAGACAAATACCGTATGATCTCACCTATAAGTGGAACCTAACCAGCAATACAAAAATGCAAGGAAAATAAGACCAGCACACTGAAAGGAAAAGAAACCAACAGAGACAAGAGGGAAGGAGGGAGGGGGGCAGGGGAAAAGGAAGGGAAGGGGAAAGTCAAGGAATATAATGAAAGGACTCATGGACAAAACCAAAGGGGAAGAGTTCAGGGAGGGAGGGGGCGAGGGAAAGTGGTGGGCGGTAGCAGAGACAAATATATTTTTAAAAATAAATTTAAAAAAATAAAAAATAAAATAAAATCACATTCAAAGCTAAAGTATAATGCTTTGTATGTTATTTGCTGAGCATATTTATATTTAATATATCAGTGCTCATCATCACCCACATGAATGATTAAGAATGGGATAGAACAGAATTGTATTAGAGCTAATTTTTTTACTAAGAGCTCAAATCCAAGTATTGTTTCATTGATGTGAACTATAATCACACTGCATCATTAAAAGTATGATCCTCTTTTCTCTAAATATTTGGTTTAAGCATGTAATCCTTAAAACATGAAATTGAAAAAAAAGCACAAAATTGTTATGTTTAAAATTATGCATAATAGCTTGCAGGAGAACTAAAAACAAAGCTACTTTTCAAAAATATATCATCTTGAAACTTTCAGTTCTTATAAGTAGAAAAGGTACCCAGGGCTACTGTTTTTTTCTGGTTCATTTGAATTCCAAGAAGCAAAGGGGAAACAGAATGAGGCTAAGTGGCACTATTTACAGTAGCCAAGTACTGGAAAGTGTCTAAGTGCCCATCAGTAAATGGGTGGATCAAAAAACTGTGGTACATTTATACAATGGAATACTATGCAGCAGAAAGAAAGAAGGAGCTCCTACCCTTCGCAATAGCATGGATGGAACTGGAGAGCATTATGTTAAGTAAAATAAGCCAGCAGGTGAAAGACAAATACCACAATATCTCACCTATGACAGGAATCTGGTGAACAAAATAAACTAATGAGTAAAATAGAACCAAAGGCATGGAAACATGGAGCAGACTGAAAATGACCAGAGGGGAGATGATAATGTTGGATAGAAGGGGAAGGAAATAGTCAAAGGACATGTATGAATGACCCACGGACATGAACAACAGGGTGGGAATTGACTGTGGGGTGTCGGATGGGTGGAGGAAGGCAAAGGGGGAAAAATTGGGACAACTTTAATAGAATAACAATAAAAATATAAATAAATCTTACATGTATAAAATTCAAAAATAAATGAATAAGAAATGGAATCCATAAAAGAGGGATAAAGAAAAATTGGATTTTTTTCTGCCTACCCCCCACCACTTTCCCTTGCCCCTTCCCTCCCTTCCTCCCTCCCTAAACTCTTCCCCTTTGGTTTTGTCCATGAGTCCTTGCTATATGTTCCTTGACTTTCCCCTTCCCTTCTGTTTCCCCCGCCCCCCTCCCTCCTTCCCTCTTGTCTCTGTTGGTTTCTTTTCCTTTCAGTGTTGCTGGTCTTATTTTCCTTGCATCTTTGTATTGTTGGTTAGGTTCCACTTATAGGTGAGATCATATGGTATTTGTCTTTCACCCCCTGGCTTATTTCGCTTAGCATAATGCTCTCTAGTTCCATCTTACATGACCCTTAAACTAATAACCTACCAACTTTTCTTAAAAAAAAAGATCATGGATTCTGAGTGGGAAGATTTCCACAGTAAAATCAAACAAATGTAGCCTAGGATGAAAGATATGAAAATAGAATGGTTCTCAGAAAAGAAGTGTTTCCTCAAAGCTCATAGTCAATAAAGTTCTACAACTGTTAAAGATAGTAAACTATACCACAAGTAAGCTTTGTCAGGAGGGACAAGCTTCTTCTTCATTACATTTCTTATGGGTTTTAGTATGTCTGCAGAGGACACTAGCTAGGAATAAGACAATATTAACTGCTGATTTAAAAAATATTTCCAAATGGGTAAAAGATACAAGTATAATAAATATTTCACATAGGTTAAGGAATCAACATTTTAATTACAGGAAATCTGTCAATATTGGAAAATTACTGTGATATCATCTTTAAATAAACTTGTTCTAATTAGAGTTATATAGAACCGAATTGTTTTCTAATACTGTTATTTTAACAATTGTATACTTTTACAGCTTTTGATATATTGTACTATATCCATTTTGGTATTTTTTTCTTTCAGGAAAAGAAACTGATCACAACAAATATCTAAAATTATAAAGACTATAGGTCAAAATGTTCCTTGTTAATGTCTAGTTCCAAAAAATCATGACACTGCCTAGTTTGGCTCAGGATGACCATATGTTGCCAGGATCACTATAAAGTAATGTTAAGAGTCTATAAATGTAAGCATTAAGTGTTATTATTTGATTAATTATTAGATTGATAAATTTTTTAAAACATCGATATCATTCATTTTTCTTGAAATGAGGTTGTTATATGACATCAATGGCACAAAACTAAACAAAAGTAGCTTATAGCTCTTGAGGGGAATGGCCTTTTATGATTAAATTAAAATTTAATTTAGCCCTGGCTGGTGTGGCTCAGTGGATTGAGCACCAGCCTGCCAACCAAAGGGTCACTGGTTCTATTCCCAGTCATGGCACATGCACGACTTGCAGGACACATCCCCAGTTGGGGGCGTGCGAGAGGCAACCACACATTGACATTTCTCTCACTCTCTCCCTCCCGTCCCCTCTGTCTAAAAATTAATAAGTAATCTTTTAAAAATTTAACTTAGAGCCGTGACTGATGTAAATCAGTGAGTTGGGCATCATTCCACAAACCAAAAGGTCACCAGTTCCATTCCCAGTCAGGGCACATGCCTGGGTTGCGGGCCAGGCCCCTGGTTGAAGGTGTGGGATAGAGGCATCCAAGGTATGTTTCTCTCACTCATCCATGTTTCTCTCCCTGTTTCTACCTCACTTCCCCCTCTCTCTAAGAATGAATAAATAAAATCTTTTTAAAGAATAAAAAGTAATTTAGTAACGATATTCAATAATGATGACAAGCAGCATCTTTGGAAATAAACGAACTGCACTTGGGCTACTTTTTCAATGGAGAAGACAATACAAGGCAATACTATAACACCATGCTGCCATAAAAACTGTTAAAAATAGCAGTTAATTTAAAAGATTAAAAGTAATTGTGAGACAGCAGTCTGAGTATTTTAGAATGACTATAAGCAAACAAAACACACTTTCAACAGCCCAGTTAAATTAACTGTTGGCTGACTTTACGTGATAAGGAACAGCTTTTTAATAAAATCATTAAGGACACATTCTCTCAAAAGTTAAAGAGTTTTGAAGATAAGGCTCCATGTTTAGTAAAATGTAATTTTAAAAGCCTAGCAGCAATCATTTACCAATATTAAAATTCGTATGAGTTAAAAGCAATTATAGAAAAATGTATGCTTCATCTATGTACTAAATTATAAAACATACTGATATTTACCATTGTTATAATTTTTGATCACAAAAGCAAGCTCTAGAAGGTATGGTAATCTTGGCAATGTTTATTTGCAACTGGACTATTTCATTTTCCAGAAGAAAACTTAAAGGGTCTCAACTAAAATAAGGAAGTCTTCAAGACCCGGATGACTGCTAAGTACTTTATTGGCTGGTAGTTGTATGTGCTCTCTCTTATCTATTAAAGAAGGCTAGAAACAATTTAGTGCATGATGTTATTCAATGAACTCAAAACTTATATTCTTATTTTTTTATTTTTCATTTTTATATCCTTACCTAAGAACATTTTTTTCATTGCTTTTTAGAAAGAGAGGAGCAGGAGAGAGAGAGAAACATTGATGTGAGAAAAACATCAATTGGCTGTCTCCAGTTGTACCCCAAGTAGGGATCATATGTGCCCAGACCATGGATGTACCCTGATTGGGAATAGAACCCACAATGCTTCTGTTAGGAGATGACACTGAAACCAACTGAGCCACACCTCCAAGGGCCAAAACATATTCTTAAACGTTTACATGTAGGTGTTCATTCTTTTTAAGACCTAGCTCTCATATTTAAGAAAAAAGATTGCTTGGGCATATCTGAAAAGATTTCTAGAAGCTCAAATTATGTTTCCACAGAATTCCACTTAATATCTGCTTGTATAAAATCACTAAGGTGAATAAAACAAAATTAAAATATGTAACATTATCAAAAAGGTTAAAGTATATAGCATTATCAAACATTATTGTCTGGTGTGATTTGATTACATGGAAGGCTTTTCTTAAATTATTATGTTTTGTAAATACACCTGTATTGTTCTCTTTCCAAATTGTTTCCAGACCACACACTACATGACACCTCTCTCTAATGGCCTAAATTTCACATGTCTACACAAAAGATTCATGAGTCTACTCTAAACAGGAGACATCAGGGTCTACTGCAGAAAAAGAATTGAAAATTTGAAGATGTCTTACCCCGGATATGAGAAATACTTTGCAGAAGTCCAAAACAGGCAGAATCTGTAGAAAACTGGCAGCTTCCAGTGTGTCTTGAAGGTTGTCCATGTTAAGAGAAAGCTTTGCAGTATAAATGAAATCAATAATTTTCCTTAAACCGACTTTGCTCACACCATGAAGCTTAATGCACATTAAATCTTGTTCTTTCATTCCACCTTAAATAAAAAGACATTCAATTAAATGAAGGTGGATAATTTAATTAAGGTCAAACTTCTGCTGCTAATTAGATACTATAAAATGAAGGAAAAGTTTTATTCTGTGTAAGCATTCATGTCAGAGTCAGGCTTCTGTATATTTTATAATTAAAAGAGAGTACTTAAAAATAAGTATCTCTATGCTAATGAAGGTCTATATGATACAAGTGCTTCCAAACTATTCTCCTGTAACTTCATATCTCTTGATGAATTAAAGATTGTTGTAGTGGGACCCAGAGTCTCTGATGCTCATTCACATATATACCCATATATATATATATCTGGAAAAGAAAAGCTGTGAAATAAAGGAGAGCAGAAGTATGAAAAATGTATATCAATTTCCCAAGTTAAAAGGGCACCACCCACAACCACACTTACTGGGTGTGTATTCCTTTTGAAACAGTTTCTTCTTGTGAAGACACAGAACAAAGGAACTGAATGAACTTTAGAAATAAAAACATTTAAACACACATTTTTCACATTGTTTTAATGTGGATACAGAGTTTTATAAAGCAACCCACCTGTGAACATGGCCTTAAAGTAATCACTAGCAGAGGCCATCATGACTCTATGCACGGGGAAAGCATCATCAGTGTCACCTGGCATCAGGGTCACATCACAAAGCAAGCCCTCAAGTCGAAGCTGGTCAAAGCCCTACAACAAGAACATGAGTTGCCCCACTAATCAAGGTAAAATAGATATATAAATCTCCATTGCTAAAAGTCTGTTTACATAATAATGTGTGTGCAACCTGTTTGGAAAATAAAGACAACAGGCTAACTACTCAGAAGAAGAAAAACCTGAACAGCTTACTTGATATTCAACAATGTTTATTCAATTCACTTTAAGAAAAAGATAAAATTAAGACTAATTTAAATTAAGAACAAATAAGCAAAGAGGCATATACATTCACTTTTTAACACAACCATTGGCTTTTACCTTGTTTTGAAAAACAATTACCATATACACTTTCATTTTCCCGTGTGCAGAATTAGGGTGTTACACTAACATTCTTTCCATAATAATATATTTATTAATAGTCCTTTTGCATAACTTTACTGAGACACCTTGTTCTTGTTTTGTTTTGGGTTTTTTTTTTCCTTTTGAGAAAATAAGGTACAGAATATCTGTGTTGGTTGCAAGAACAGGAGTTACTTTCTACCAAATAGTAGTCCATCTCTTTGAGAATTAGGGATTGTGTCTTAGGTATCCTTGTACTTTGTACACTGATGCTGCTTGACCAATTATCTTTCAAGTTACAAATTTGGGAGTGAATTATCTTTGGAAAAAAGGAGACCAGGGAGCCCCAACATGAGACCTAAGTGTCCCCAAATGTCTAAAGTCTACTGGAGAATTAGCAGGCTAGCAATCACAGAACAAAGGAACAACTGTTCCTTTGGTATACTCTGGGGATAATGAAATATGTAAAGTTCATAATAGGCTGGTATATTACACAAAAAAAGATAATAGACAATTTAATAATGAGGCACAAAATGAAGATTTTGGCAATATTGAGTCTGCAGTTTCAAAAATGGAAATGTATTGTTATAAAAATTAGGAAGCTACTCACACAAATTAGTTTCTAATAATATAATACATAATATAATACAACAAGAAGTAATAGCAAGGATTACTCTATCCCATTCATATTTTAATGACCTCAACTAGAACTTTTATTTAAAGTTGTTTCATGGAATTATGAAACAAAAGGCATGACATACTGAAAAATGCAGTTTTAGAAATATTGATTCTACACATATGTATATAATATAAATTTCAGTCTAAACATTTTCTCATAATAATTTTTAAACTGCTTTTTAAAGAGAATGCTTGGATCTATAGAACTCGAACTTCAAAGAGATAATGTGATCCAGCCACTTTCTCTCTGGAGGGAGAGAGATTTTTATTTCAAAAATATTTATACAATATAAGTATACTTTAGAACAGGATTATGAATCATATTTTTCTTTCTCCAACAGTGACTGACATATGCTTTTGTTCACAAATATCAAACCTTTGAGAAATGTCCCTTTCCTTTATAAACACAAACATTATATATCCCACCCTTGCTGTTCTCCATCTTCTATTGCTAAATCGTCTCCTGTCCTTGTTATTTATAAAAAGAGATGTAAAAAGAGATGTTAATTTAGGGGAATATTCTCATGCAGAAGGCGAAAGAGTGTTTTTTTCTTCAAATTCATATATGGAGTCTAAATTGCAGAAAGTGTGAGAGGGATTGCCTTTCAAATGTAGATGAGCATTGGGGAGAACTGAATGCAACCACTGAGGGTAGAGATGAGATGGTCAAGCAACTGAGAAGGAGGCAGTCGTTTCTGTAAACAAATTTTATACAGTAAGTCTTCACATAACATCATTGATAGGTTCTGTAACTTAAAGTGAAAGAACATATAACAAAACCAGTTTTACTGCAGGTTAATTGATGTAAACAAGGAATAAGTTCCTATGGCATCTCATCAATGTTACAACAAAACAAAGTTGAATAAAACAACATTATTCCAGAACCTGTTGTACTCTAATCTTGTGGAGAATGCACACATGAAACGAGAAGGGAACTCATTCTTCTTCACAATTCTCATCTTCCCTCTATATAGTAGTCTCTCATTAAGGACAGTTTTGCTTTCCATGGTTTCAGTTACCCACAGTCAAGCACAGTCTGAAAATATTAAGTGGAAAATTCCAGAAATAAACAATCCATAAGTTTTAAATTGCATTATGCTCTGAGTAGTTTAATGAAATCTCACGCTGGCTTTATTCTGCCTGAGAGGGGCACGAATCATCCCTTTTTGTCCAGCATCTCCCCCAGTATATGATCTTTACCCATTAGTCACTAGGAGTCATCTCCATTATCAGATCAGTTATCATTAGAGAGATAGAGAGACACCACATTCACATAACTTTGATTATAGTATATTGTTGTAATTTATTATTAGTTGTTGTTAATCTATTACTTGTGACGAATTCATAAATTAAACTTTATTATATGTGTGTATGTACGGGAAATAAAGAATATATACTGGGTTCAGTACTATCTGTGGTTTCAGGTATTCACCAGAGGTCTTGGAACATGTGCCCTGTGGATAAGGGGAACTATTTTATATATTATTCACTCATAAATATTTTCCCTTATTTAACTCAATAAGGACTCTCAAAGATACCCTGAAAACTTAAACTGTGTCCTTTTATTATAAAATAATATGTCTTCCACCAAATTTGCACTCATTTCTCATGTCAGAATTCTAGACACATTTCTTTCTATTACCATATGGTAGTCCACTATACACAAATACAGTTCTGTTTTACACAAAATTGCTTAAAGTTTCCAATTAGTCTCTTAGTGCATTTAAAACTGTTCCTTGGCACATTCCCAGGAGAATCAAGAAGGCGGAGGAGTGACTGGAAGTCACACTGACCTCCTCCCAGGACCAACCTGAAATTACAACTAAATTGGGGAGAAATAACCTGAAACAAACAACTGAACAATAGCGAGAGAGGAGACGAGTAACCTCGGGGATGAAGAATCGGCTTTAGCGCAATCTAAATGATAAGGAGTGCAGTAGAGACTCCAGACGGCAAGCAGGGCGCCCAAAGGCAACAGCACCAGAAGGTTATTGAAATGGCCAGTTGGACCCCCCTGAGAAGAGTGGTGTCTAGATCAAAAGTGGGGATCTCTAGCCCACAGCACCAGAGACCAAAAAGTTTATAAAAAACAGCCAGCTGCGAAAAGCGGCAGAATTGCTGTCTGCCAGAGACAGGCGGCTGGAGATGCAAAGAACTGTTTAAAGAGCCAGTGCATAAATCTTTATTTGTAGCCACTTAACCTGGAAAAGGCAGGGGGAGAATGGGCTAGAGACGCTTGATGAGAGACTGGGGAAGGAGGCTTTGGGGAGAGAATGGAAAGAGTAGCAGGCCGGATCCCGGTGCTGACTCATCCCCCATGCGGCAGCAGCCATTTTTGTCAGACAGCAACCACGCCGCAGAGCAGGACCAGCAACAAAGGACCCAAAGCCCCACCCCCAGGTGGGATTCCACCCCACCCTGTGCTGTCTAAGCTGCCTGCTGAGTGCAGAGTGGCAGCCACAGACAGTAGATCCCTGGCTAAAGAGGACGCAGAGAGATCTGGCAACACATGAGGAGAGACTGGAGACAGAGGCTTTGGGGGAGAGAACAGACAGTAACTGGCGGAATCCCAGTGCTGAGTCCTCCCCCATATGGCTGCAGCGAGAGAAGACCCAATAACCCGCACCCAGGATGGACTCCGCCCCACCCTGAGCTGTCTAAGGTGCCCTGCTGAGTATAGACTGAATAGATTAACAGCTGAAGGAGAAAGCCACAAACAGTAGATTCCTGGAAGTCTTGAACAGACTGCCTAAGGTCATACAGGGTCAACATCTGACATCATCAGAGGCAGATCCAGAAAGTAAAAACAGTGGTCTCCAACCATAGAAGTTTACACCACAAACTCAGGAAATCAAGACAGATCAACTTAAAAATCAGAAGCAAAAGAGAAGACTATCAGAAATAGTGGGAAGAAAAAGAAATTCGCCCCACTCGAAGGGAAAGGAAGAATCCCCAGAAAGAGAACAAAATGAAATAGAGACAAGTAAACTATCAGATACTGAGTTCCAAACAGCGATTCTAAGGAACCTCAAGGAGCTCAGTGAGCTCAGAGAGAATTACCAGAAACTACAGGGAAACTATGAGGAACTTACTGTAAACTATATCCACATGAAAAAGGACATAGAAACCATCAATAAGAGACAAGAGGAAATGAAGAACACAATTCTGAATTGAAGAACACAGTAGAAGGAATCCAAAGCAGGCTAGATGAAGCTGAGGATCGAATCAGCAAGCTGGAGGATAAGGTAGCAGAATGCTCCCAAAAAGAGCAAGAAAATGAAAAAAGACTCAAAAAGAATGAAGAGGCATTGAGGGAAATGCAGGACAACATGAAACGTAATAATATCCATATAATAGGGATACCAGAAAGAGAAGAGGATGAGGAAGGGATGGAGAACCTGTTTGAAAAAGGAATGATAGGAAACTTCCCTAAATGTAGGAGAGAAAAAGTCACACAGGTCCAGGAAGCAGAGAAGGTCCCATTCAAGAGGAACCCAATGAGGCCTACTCCAATACACATCATCATTAAAATGGCAAGTATCAAAGACAAACAGAGAATCCTAAAGCAAGCAGGGGAGAAGGAGATAGTAACATATAAAGGAACCCCCAATATGGCCAGCAGCTGACTTCTCAACTGAAACACTGCAAGCCAGAAGGGAATGACAAGAAGTGTTCCAAGTAATGAAAAGCCTGCAACCAAGAGTGCTCTACCCAGCAAGGCTCTCAATTAAAATGGAAGGCGAAATAAGGAGTTTCCCAGACAAAAGGCTAAAAGGGTACACCTCCTCCAAACCAGCACTGCAAAATATGCTAAAGGGACTGCTTTAAGGTGAAGAAAAAGTTCCTATGAATACCCAGTTCCTTTCAGAACTGCCAATACTTGATATTACCAATATTTTTAATACTCATTAACCTGATTGTGACAATGATGTTATTTTAATTGTTCCTTTACTATTTGTTGAAACTAAAGTTGTTTTAGTATGTTTCTTGCCTATATCTATTTTTTTTTAAAAAAG